TGCTCCGTGAGGCCACCGCATCACTCGATTGTTTCCCCGATCTGACACATAGAGGGTACCCAACGTATCGACGAACAGTCCGCTATGACAGAACAATTGTGTGACAAGTTTTCCTGGACCGTAACTCCCAGCGGCGATAACGCCTTCTGTCTCAGCTTTATTCCATTTCATCACACGGTGATTTAAGGTATCTGAAATGTAGATAGCTTGCTGTTGATCGACGAAGATGTAGGTCGGATAGTACAGTTGATTGAGACCATCACCTTTGCCATGACCACCAGCCACAACGCTGCCAGTTGTCTTTCCTATTTCATATCGTCTTACTTCATGATTTTCGACGTCAGAGATGTAGAGACATTTCTGATCATTCATGGCAAATCCCCAACAATTGATATTGTCGATGAGAATTTCTCCTTGAGTTGAACCATTAAGACGAGACCATCGTACGACTCGTCGATTTCCATATTCACAGATAATGAGACTATTCGTCTCTTTGTCAATCAACACATCAGTTGGGCGATTCAATTGATCCAATCGCTTTCCCGGACCATTACCACCAGCTACCACTCGTCCATTCCTATCACCTATCTTCCATTGTATGATACGATGATTCCAAGAATCAGCAATGACCACAGTTTGATCATCATCGTCAACACAGAGACCCCACGGAGAGTTAAGTCGATCAGTGGTATAGCCCTCTTCATGGCCTCCAGCAACAGTTACCCCGTTCTGTACCCATCGAGCATTGTCTGAAATGTTAGGGATTACTACAATGAAAAAAAAAGAACAACAGGAATTATGGTTCTCGAAGAGATCTTCCTTGAAAGGAAGACTGCTACGACAAACAAGGTACTCGTCTTTGAAGGGAATCTCTTTGCAGATCGTTCTGCTTTTCATGTAAGCCGAAAGAAAAAATGTTAAGATTTTCTACGAAAACTTGGAAAGATTCTTTCTACTAGATAAATACAAATTTGACGATAACTAGTCTCTTTTCAAAAAATGACAACGAATGTGAAAACCTTGTTTTTTTGTGAATATAGCACAACAGATCATTTTCATTAAAGTTTCATCTCTCTGCAACTTGACTGTTTGTTGAGTGATTCTAAAGGACTATGGAAATTGCAAAAAAACTTCATCGAAACAATGCTTACTCTATTCGAAACCCTTCTTTGAAATGTTTTTGGAGAGCCTTCACGAGGAACATATACAACATGAAGAAGAAATCTTTCTCACCGCACCTTACGATTGCTAGCTCTCCGCATGCCGTGAATCAGAGGAGTCCATCTTGGCGGGAAAGAAAAGAAAAGAAAATATTCCAGGATGCTAATCTAATAAGTGTACAGATTTACAACGCATCATTAACGGACTAGCTGTGCGTCTGCCTAAAAATGAAGTATGCAGAATCGAAATCACCCATCCGTAGAGCCGTTTCGGAGTTTAACACAGTGCTCGTCTCTGGATATTATTCAAAAATACCCAAGCGTAGCATACGATATATGGAAGAGGATTTTTAATAATCGACAGATCCATTTTGAAACACCAAGAGATTCTGGCCCTGTCTTAAGTTCGGATTATTAGAAGAGAATAACATGCTACATTAATTGAATGTCCAAAGATGAAAAAAAGTCTCTTTCAAAGATCTAAAGCCTCGAAGAAGCGCACCAGTAAGGAATACTAAAAGAATCTTAACTGAAAGTTCATACGATGTCAAGTAGATGTTAATGAAGATTTGATGGAATGCTACAAGAATCTATGATACATGCTGAAACGATCTCTCTTCCCATGTTGACAGTCTCTCAAGAAATCACGAAATAATGTCAGCACATTCTTAAAGGAACCCACGCATATAGACGAAAAATCTCAGGTGCATCCGAACAATACAGTGTTAGCATGCTAATGGTATCTCAACACCATTCTGCGAGGGTTTGAAATAGATACTGAAACAATAATATATAATTCTGAGAGGACATAGATCGGGTGCTAGGAAATGCTGAGCAACAATCTGAACGGTTGTGGAGGGAATCATGAGAAATCCGAAACAAGAGTCGAAGACGGCCTGAAGTGGAATTTGAGAGAATCGTAATAAAACCCCAATAGGAGCTCTCAGGACTTAAACAGAATCTAATAACGATTCCCGCAACGTTCGCTCACGATTCTTGAAGAACCGCAAAAGGATCCTAAAACTGTCTTAAGAGATACTTATGGAATTTGTAGCAGATTCAAAGAGTATACCGAAGAGTATCAAGTAGATGCTGCGAGAATCTTCGGTGAACCCGAAGAGAGTCTTACTGGAAGCTAAGAAGCATCTAATGGCACTGCTAAACAGCTGTCAGCAGAATCAAAGAATAATCGGGAACTGGAGCGAATGCTAAATGGATCTGAACAGAATCCTGAGGGCATCTATACCTAAGGCTACTATGGTATAAACAAGGTGCTTAAGGACCTAAAAGTATTCTAACACGATGCTTAAGAATACTAAAAGTACTCAAAAATCATCCTGAAACTATCTGTAGGAATTCTAAAACTATGCTAAACGATGCTAAGAGAGTCCTAAAGAACTAGAGCACAGTAATAGGGTGCTAGATGGAAGACAGAGAGATAGTAAGAAAATGACAATGAGACTCGAGAAAGATTTAATCAGATGCTGATATGAACAGGATCCTAAGACCGCTTCAAGTGATGCTTAGAGAATCTAATGCGGATGCTGTGAAAATCCTGCTACGTTATACACGGAACTCCAATAGAATCTCAAGCGGATTGCAAGAGGATCTAACGAGAATTCTGAGAGAATTGAAACGATGCTACTCAAATCCAATCTGGATCCTAAGAGGTTTCAAAGGAATGTCAAGAGGATCAATACCAAGCCCTAAAAGTATCTAAAAGAGACTCTAGGTGCATCAAGACTCAATACTAAGCTGATATAGAGGATATTCGCATAGAATCATAGCGAAGTCCCAAGAGGATCTAGTAAGAATGTCAAGAGGGCTTGAAGAGTATTCTTGAAGATTCTCCAAAGATATACTGATAATTCTACAGGTATCTAAAGAAAATGTCAATAGGATCTTAAGCTGAAGCTGAGTGAATCTAGCGATTGCTTGTAGAATCTAAAAAGGATCCGAAGATACGAGTTGCCTCATTTGAGTTCGGATATAAATGAAGAATTGAGTGCAAAGCAGCAATTCGAAAATAAATGAAAAAATCGAAACGGCACTTTCTCTGATAGTCTAGAAATATAGGAAAAGAAAAAGCTTGCCAACATTATAAATTATAATTCGAGTTTCAGAACATACCACTCTACATTTAGAACAATACGGAAAGAAAAAGTGCACCTTTTCAATAAGCTACAAATATCACCTGTATGCTTAAACATATCAATTGGAATCGCACATATCATCTCAAATAAAGAAGTCAACCCATGAGTTGTTAGAGCATTTCCTAGGATACTAGAGGCATTCTGTGGGGTGCTACAGGTACTTTAAGCAATGCTTGAAACGTTTTCTGGGATACCGAAGGCACTTCCAGAGATAGTAGCGGCATTCCATGAAGTGCTACAGGCACCATCCATGTTGCTACACGACTCACAGGGAATGCCAGAAACATTTTGAGGCTGCTACAAGTATCAGCGGGGATGGCAGAAAACGCAGATGCGCAGCTGTGAATCATTCACTTGACTGTCGCGAGAAATCTTCGGTCCGTATACCAGACCTTTCATTTCTGCGTCGCGACGTGGGGGTGCAGCGTCTTCCGAAGAACCATGACCTATGCTCTTCTCTGTATACACTGTCACATATGTATTCAGTTCACATTTTCTTCCAGGAAAAGGATTTGTTAAGTGGATAATACAAAGGTGAGCCATTTATATAAATTATAAATTATAATTTAGGAAAACTTTTTCTTTCCGGGTTTCAACAACATGGATGCGTTGGAAATTTAAATTTATATGCGAACTCGAATTAGACATCTACTCTCCTAAGAGAATCCAACATGGAAGCTTATTGGATTTGAAAATGACCCGAAATCGAAACGGGGTAGATGTGGGAGCGATGAATACGCACATTCATACTCAACCAATATGTTTTTAAAATGTCCAAGAAGCTAGTTAATGCGAATATTCAAATAGTTTTGTCTCTTCTTTTGAAAATGAATTTCAAATAAAAACAAAAAATATTTTTCTATTTTCAACGATTTTAAAACTTTTTCCTATTTTTGATGCTATGTATTTATTGAAATATTTTTTAAGAAAAAAACAGATTTGTATAATAATTCAAAAAAAAATAACAATAATCAATGTATCTATTTTTTCTTGAAATATAAATTAGTTTTAGCGGTAACAAGCCATAAAGAGTATGAATCCATGATAAACACGAAGTTAAACGTATCAGAGATATTCATTATGTCTTTGAAATAAAATTCAATGTCATAGTTAAATACATCTTACCTACTTATAATAAAAAGATTTTTTTCTAGAAGAACCTTTAAGTTCACTATGAGGATGGTGATGACAAAATAACTGTACATTTGTATTGCTATAAATTAAGTCTTAAGTATATATGAAATAGTAAAAGAATAATTAAAAACTACGATGTGTATAAATATGATTTAAGAGCATAAAGGAATCTATGTAGCGTAAACATCTATCTATACTTGATGGATTACATAGTGACAATTTAGAATTCAATAATTTGAAAACTAATAGTACTAGTTTTGTACGACTGTAATACAGTTTCAAATAAATAGAGTTTATATCTATAGTTCATATTCTTGTTTTGAGCGGATTGAAAAGCATGAGTTGATCATCATATAATATCCTTTCTAAAAAAAAAGATCCTTCATTTAATTTCTCCCATTTAGATTGTAATCATTGCTGATCTGTTAACAGCTTTATTCAACCTTAATTATAGGTATCCGCTCGATAAATTCAGAAAGTATCTAGATATCATGAATATTGTTTGTTCTCAAATCTTTCTTAATATTGTTTTATTGATAAAAAGTTCAAGCGGTTAAAAAACAAAAATGCGACATATAATATTATTCATACCTGATATTATTGGTGGGATTTCATTTGAAATACTACTGATAAGATTCGTTGGACTCATTATTACAGATGTCGAGGGAGAAATTGTACTTGATTTATGAACGACCGACGAAGGCTTTTGCTCGTTTGATTTAAAAAATGGTGGTTTAATAAGTGTTATCGGTGGCGTAATTTCTTTTAATTGAATAATATGAAGATCAGGTGCTGGATTCAATTGACCCAAGACTTCAAAATATGAACCTGGCATAAGAATAATTTCTTTTTCGGTATTTTTGAAGTATGAATGTGCAGCAACAGATTTTCCATTAATACATTCAATTGAGAAGAGAGTACGTTTTCCATGTTTACCCAAAAATTGATTTGATTCAAGTACTTCAATATGAGTAGTACAAGAACTTATTCCCCACCAGGCAAATTTTGTACCAGTTTTGTATTTTGAATTTAAATCAACATCTCGGATACCACGCCATACTGTTCCACTTTGTGATGGTAATTTATATAGTGCAGTAAGGAATAATTTAAGATAGGAGAACCATGGTTTCAGTTCTTCGCGATTTTCAGCACGTAATGATTGATTAAGTAATTGATATAAACTTGGTCCACCATCAAATTGCATTGTATACAAATGAATAGAAGCTGATTCTTGTTGAGTTAACCCCTCAGTTGGATTTTGACAATTATGTAATGCAACAAAAACATTGTCTTCAATTTCATTAAAGAATTCTGAAACTGGTTCGACAGCGTCCGTAAGTGAAACAAGTGGCTTATCTTGATAGCCTTTTATGGGTGATAAAAGACGATTTACGGGCTCATTGCAAATATCAGTGAAACGAGACTTATTGCCAGATTGCACTAGCTCGGACATCTGTTGTGTGTCGATTCACAAAAAATAAGGAACAAACCAAAAAATCTAAAAACAAAATAATCCAATCACTTTCGTATTATGTTCATTATTAATAAGATCGAAATATCGTGAACAACTGAACAAACATAAAACGAAGCATACAGTTTATTGTTTTAACCTATGTAATATATTATCTTACACAAACACCTATCATAGAATTCAACTGACCAAAAATAAGTGTTTATATTTGACATGAACGAGTTCGGGAATATTTTCGATTCCGCAAGGAAACATGGTTGCCAAGCGCGTGACAGATCCTCTACTATATAATTATCAGAAATTAAGCTTGAGTAATATTCCTAGCGCATATGTTGATCGGTCACAAAAACAAACACTTTCTCTTAGTGATACAGATTATTTGTGGAGTGTGGGCATGGGTATGCACCAAAAGAAGACTGATACCAACACCCACACCCTACATGAATCTAAATTGATCACAGTTGAATTCAATAACTTATTTTACTCACGAAACTTTGTTTTCCTCTATTCAAGTTAATTACGTAGTGTTCTGTCTTTCTTTGTGCAGCATATAGTAAGTAAATCGGAGAACACTTTTCTTCTTTTGTCATTTGTTTTCGCTGTACGTGATCGGAGTTGGCATCTTTTAATGTTCAAAAAGCTGAATATGACTCAAAAAAAACAGAAAATGGCAAAACTATGTTTTCAAAAAAGAAAAAAAAGCGTTTTTTTGATTTCTATACATTCTTGAACTTTTTCTTCATATCATCATGGGATAGTTGTGTACCAGTTGCTGATCGTTTAGAGTATTTAAGATAGATAATCAGAATAGTTTGACGAGTTTCATTTTAGTTGTTTGCTATCCAAACAGACAACAATTTGGAGAAACGCATTTCAGCGTTCAAAATGGAACCGCGACTGTGACTCATTCACACTGAATAGAAAAACGCAAAAAATCCGTTTATTCGCACAAAATTTTGACTGTCTGAGAGTGAAAACGGCGAAAAGCTGCAGTTTTTAGTGTTCAAACATGCTTCTATTCTAGAATTTAAAAACAATGCGTTTTATCGTTCATTTTTTGAATTTGTCGCCGTTTCTTCTCTCTGAAAGTCAAAATTTTGCGCAAATAAACGCATTTCCTGCGTTCTTTTAATCAGCGTGAATGGATCATTATCGCGGTTCCATTTTGAGTGTTTAAGCGGGTTTCTCCAAATTTTTGTCTGCTTGGGTATTTATCTGTTTTCGTATCTTTCAATAATTCTTTATTTAATCTGAGTCATATTGATATAATAATAACTCAATGCTATTTTACACCTCTTTTTTTTGTCGAATAAGGGATCTAGCAAATTAAGTTTAAACAATAGACTAAACAAATATAACAATTATCGAAAATATTTTTAATGGCTGAATCTCAATATCTAAATTTATCTTATTCTATATTAATCAATATGAACATGAATAAAAAAACAAGAGGTTAAGATTTTTTAACTTCATGGTCAGGGATGGTATAGAGGGAAATTTCAAAAAAGTGTACTTTAGTTAAAACTAGTCTGGATAGTGATTGTTCGATCGATCGAATTCAATTTAATTTCATTTCGAATGTTTAGAAGAGATATTGAAAAAAAATAAAACCAATAAAATTTTCAAACGAAATATAACTGTTGTATAAAAGACGACGTTTGTTGAAACTTATTGTAGTTCAATCAAATTCAACGATGTTTTCTTATTAAGCACTGTATATGTGTTCTCATCTGAGGATCTTGAGTTAAATTAGAAACAAAAAAAATATGAAGTGCGACTTCGACTAACATAACAAAAGTTTTTGACCGATTAAAAAGCTGTAATCATAATTAAAATCTTTTCTTAAGGCAAAGAAAATTATTAAACACTTTAAGATTAAACTTTGAAATCTAGTCATTAAAAATGGGTGTGGGTGCGGCGTGTAGGTGTGGATGTGGATGTATTACTTATTAGAATCATATCCCACCCATACACCCACATCCACACCCACGCCTGTTCCCGACATGAAGATTTAACCATTGCTCTGGTAACATTTTTATGCCTATTATTATCAAAACTTTCGTTACACTAGATTGATAACTCAATGCTTATCTCTTGACTAACTCAACATGATGCTATAGTATTGGCAAAAAAAGCAAGTAAACTAAATATGTAAGATTAAGAAGTCGTCTATGACTTTAGGTCAATCAAAGTTATAAGTAAAAGTGAGAGCAAGACAGCATATTAAATCAAGGAGACTGCCAATCAAAAAACACTTATGAATCAATCATCGAAATCAATTTCATATCTATCTAATTCGTGTCTAATGTCCAGATGATATTGACGATAGCTAGCTGTGTATTATTTAATAAGCTTGTCTCTATTTAAACATCATTCAGATAGGTTACTCACCACAACGAAATCAATAAAAGCCAATATTCTGGAAAAATTTAATATTAACTGGTTATTTATTTGGCTTGAGGGTGGATGCAACACTGTTTATTTGTTTTTACACATGATTCTTTTTTACTTGTGCAGTAAGGCAACTCTATACGTTTCTTACTCTTCGTTAATATGCTTGGTTTCTTCCCTTTCTTTTAATTTATGTTACATACTCTAGCATGAGTATATTGAAATAAGATGTACACGTGCATAAAGCGATGTGCTTCAGTGATCTGTACACGGTAAATACTGCACACGAAATAATTTCGAAACGCTTTCATACTTGAAAAAATATCGAGAAGCAAAAGGTAGTAGAAAAAATCAAATTACTTTATATCTCGACGAACGTAATTATATTATATTTATGCATACATAAATAAAGTGCATCAAAGCAGAAAATTTCGATATACATTATTATGTATCGTTGATATCGAGTCAATACCATCACCCATATGTTTCTTTATATATTTCGAACATTTTGTTTATTAAAAAAAATATAGTTTAATGATATTATCAAATCTAATGGATTGAATGCTTCAAAACAGCACTATAGAAATTAGTTTATATAATAAATACGGATTACAGAATTTAGTGGGTGTGGATGTGGGTGTAGTGTGGGCGTGAGTGTTGGTGGGGTGTGGATATGAATAAAAGGAAGATTAGCATCCATACATGCACACTCACATCCTTTCACCCACACTCTAACTATTACTATTCATGTTCAGACGTACCTAATATTAAAAAATGATCGTTGTATTATTCAGTTTTGATTGCAGTTGTAATCCAAGTAGATGATTGAATTGGGTGTGGGTGTGGGTGAGTGTGGGTGTGAGTGTGGGTGGATGTGGGTGTGGGTGTGGGTGTGGGTGTGGGTGGAGTATGGGTGTGCGTTTAATGAAGAGAAGATTCACACTCACACCCGCACCCACACACCCACACCCACACCCACACCACCCACCCACACCCATACCCACACCCTAGCCAATTCCGACCAATCTGACATCTTTTAATCGTATTGAGTGCAATCCGACAACCGTTACAGGTACAGCGATTCAAGATGATCAAGTTTAGCAGAAAAAATTGGTCGGAATTGGTGGTGCTTGGTATCGCAAAAATAGCATCTTTGAAGCCAATTTTCTGGAATTGGTGCATCCCTAATTAAAGCCATCTTCATAAAAACTCGATTCAATTCTATTAGATTTCTAATTGATTATTTGAATTTGTTGAAATAAAATCGATTTTAATCGATTAAAGTTATGATCATAAAAAATCGATTAAAATCTATTAGATTTCTAATCGATTATTTGAATTTCTCGGATTAAAATCTATTAGATTTTTAATCAATTATTTGAATTTCTTGAGATAAAATCGATTGAAATCGATTTAGTCAAAGAAAATCGATTAAAATCAATTATTTTCTCAAAATTAATCGAAAAATGTCGTATTTAATCGATTTTTTGTGATTTTTTTAGAAAAAATCAAAATTAATCGAAAATTTCATGATTTATTTTTAAATGGGATAAACATGATAAAGAAATACGTATACAATAAATGCCAAAAGAAGATGCAAACTAACTTTAGTTGTAAAAACACAAGACATTCAAGATAATTTTATTGTATGCAATCATTAGTTATATATGACAATGTTTATATGTGAATAGACAACATGCACATATCAAGAGCAACTAAATCGAAAACAAAATATTTGACGACATTTGAAAAACAACATAAAATCGATTTACAAGATGCGTGTAGTATTTTTTGGATTAAATGAACCAAAGAATCCTGGACGAAACGATGATATCATATTCCAAACAGCGAGTAGAATTAGTAGAAGTGATGTTACATAAATAAAAAGAATTACAAGAATATTTGTTTTCTTTTGCTCTGGTGACGTTAACACTGGATAATCCAAATATTGACATCTCAATAGACTCATTTTTATTTGTTCATCCGTTTGTCGCATGACTTCGTCAATTTCGCCCTTACTGTTGCATTGTCTCATTTTACACATTGCTTGATCTGTACAACGAATATTTATTTCTGCGTGTGCAAATGATCGTTCATTGTTCTCATTACAAATCCGATAGTATCGTGCGATCATTTGTGAATCTTCAAAAGGTTGACTTTCAAGATACAGCATAAGCACTAATAAATGCAAGAGTGTTGGTCCTTGATAATAAATAAGATAATCTTGTTGTGAAGTTCGAAAACAATGCACCATTAAGCCTACACAAGTATACATATGCATTACGGTATGACTAGTCGATATTTCGTAGACAGTTAAAATGTGAATCGAAAATATGTAAGTTGCATATATTGTATAATGATTCATTCGAAACCACAAAGGGGTCCAAAATTTGCAGCTATCTGGCACATTAATATACAATGAACCAGAATAATAATCTAGTTTCAATATTTTATAACATTCATCATGTAATAGTATGTATTCAATAAAATACCAGCTAAGTGTGACGAATATAATTTGAAATGAGAAAATCGGCCATAATTGTCTTCGTTCAGTATTATTAATAAATCGATAGAAATTCGGCATTATTTTA